CAGTTGCCAAGATAAAAATTAAGTCAAATTCAATTAGATAGTTGTTTTTTTTTTAAGTAATTTACAATTTTGGACCATTTTTAATACCGGATATACTCGTTTAAAAGACAAGTCCAAAAGGAAATTGCACAGACCAAGAACTGTTTTCGCATAATGCTCTGGCAAATCTGAATCTGTGCAGTTTGTTAGATTAATCAGTAAGACAAACGGCATTGAACCGGATCTGCAGGTGAATTATGCAACGGCAGAGTATTATCTGTGTTGTTTGCCGTTGGACTCAACTTATGAGCGAGTATATACAGTAACTGTAGTCAAACTTGGTACATGAACTAACAGCAAGGGCTTTAGGGTACTTCATTGGCTAGGGTAACATATTGGCGTTTCATGATGGGCTTAAAAATCATTATTCTTTCCTATTGCTGAACATCTATCCTAATCCTATAAATATCAGTCCAGCTCGCCACTGTTTTACGTCAAATAAATCAGCTAACCGTTACTTATCTGAATGTAAACTACCTTATTTACAAGTTAATAAGTCAGATCGATATGAAAACAACATAGACCTTGATCTTCCGTCGCGGATTAAGGTCAATATTGTTTGTTCCACTGACTGCTCCTTACAAACTACATTTACCTTGAACTGCAGGACGGCAAATCTGAGTCAACACAGTTTGCATTTGGATCGGACTTACCAGCGGGGGAATATACGTTACATAACACTCCCAGATATCATATGACAATTCCCCGCAGTCTTTCTCAGACTGATCGACTTTTATATTATTTTATCCGTAAATCATGATACCAGAAATTCTAAAATATTGAGACAAGTTCAAAAGGCAAGAAAGTTTTGAGTATAATTTATTCGACGTACAATAAATGCATTCCACCAATCACATTTTTGTAGTTTGCACCGATGAAGCATTGTATGTACTAAACCTTGCGTGTTTATTTCCTTATCATTGATAATTCAGATCTTTACCTTTTAATGTCGTGATTCAGATGTTTAATTTAAGTGTTCAGCCGTCTTAAAAATACACAAATATCTCGGCGGTAAAATCTTCCGAGCTACTTTACGTTTGTCAGTTTTTCCGACTTTAATATTCCGCTCTTTAAGATCTCGCGACTGAGATATATTCTTGAATATGAACGGAGATTTCTAATTGTGATGGGACTGACAAATGTATGTGCTTATAGGTCAGATCAAACTGCAGGCTGCATTATGCGCCGGCAGATATTGCTTTATGTAGTAACTTATCAGTTGAACAAAGATTTTGGCGAATAGTTAAATATACGCTTTTCTAGCAGGGGTGTTTATTCTTCTTTCATTTCGAAATTCAAGTAATACAATTGGTCCGGTACAATTTTGTTTGTTTTATCCAGTTGCTATAATGGTTGTTTTCGGTATATAGAGACTAGTATTGTTCTAGTCTATATCTCTGCTCAGATTTATTCCATTAATTTCATTTAAATATTCGCTCGATCCGCGCCAACGTTGACCATCCTCTAAGCATTGATAACCAGGAAAACACGACAATATGCATGTTCTACATTTCACTAGAAGCTCACAGTTAATTATCGCTCAGGTCATCGCGTAACTCAATACAACTATTTATAATTATCGTATACAGAATATGTAAGAAACACGAATGCACGTGTGAGGTATTAGCGTTCAGAAGATAAAATAGTTTATATTCACACTTCAACATGAAAATGCATTCCAAACATGACAGCAACGTGTATAATTAAATACAAACGTATTTTCAATCTTGAATTCAAATTTATTTTATCACTATTTCTACGATTATAGGATTACCTTGTTTAGCTCATCAGTCATTGATTCGTAGAATATCAGCAAAATAAGAAGAGATACTGTATACAGTTTACAGAAGTAACATGGCCTATGGTAGGTAGGCCGACCAGTTTCTTCATAATTCTTATAACATAATACACTAATAGTAAGGCCAATCACAATTCTCTCCGCTTCCAATTGTATTTTTCTAATTGAGGAGTTGTCAATTCAAATACAATGCCATACAATAATTGCATATGCAAGTAAAGGGCCATGGAATGGTGAAAACGTTCGTAGAGATAATTACGAAGTACAATTCTGTCTTGTTCAGCGTGACTCGTGACTATTAAGATTGACATGTGGGCTAGACTCGCAATAACTTGGCAGGTTTCAACGGATAACCAATTTTGTTAAGTGAATTTGAATTAAGAGTCGGTTCGATAACGGTCAGACAGATGAAACACGACAATGCTAACGAAGGATAAAATAACAGAATAATTGTCATAAAATTATATTTTCCAGAATAGATATTAATAAAGGCGATCCAGATAGAACTATTCTAACTTCGATGGGAGTGTTAAAATTTAGGCGGTTGGAGAAAATTAATCCTGATTAGGAAGTTAAACGAACGGATGTGTTCTCTAGAAGATATTTTATCGTTTAATGTCATTTTTTTTACAGAAGGGCTCGTGTTTTTCTTTCTTTATCTGTACTCAGATCTCTGTTATTCCATTAATTAATTTCATATTTAATTTTATCGTTTACTCTATCCGGGCAATAACACCCTGTTCAATCATCTCCTAAATTACGATAACCAAAGCACCATAGGGAGAGGAAGATCACACATTATTCCACACTTCTGACAAGCGGATGCATGTAACTATATTTTTTCAAAACTTATTAAAACGTGTGTGCACGTATTTTCTAGGTTTTCTAGCCATTTGTAATTTTTGGGTGGAGTGACGTATGTTCAAAATATATTTGTTCCAGTTGCCAAGACAGCTAAAGGTTACGCCAAGATCTTTTGGTGGTCAGTGAAAGATAGGAATATTTGTTTCTTGGTTGCTTGGTTAGTTGTTTGGTTTTACAGCATTTTTAAACACATTATTCGCTATATCATGTTAAGGAAATGGAGCATAGTGCCTTTCTCAAGGCCACGTTGGTGCAGTCGCCATGAACAAAAAGTAGAATTTCATGTTTGAAACTTAATGCAAGAAAAACGGGTCCTAAAGTGTACGAGAAAAACATTGGTTCTGTTTTGAGTGAAATAAAGTCAACAACCCACTGTCATGACAATCAGTCATATGTCCATTATATTTAATACATGTTTGTAAGAGTCTTTGATGAATAAGCCAGAGACTTATGATAAGCAAAGAGTCTCACATCACTAAAGAGCCTGTTGCCTGTATCATTAATATACACAATAAAAAAAATATCGGAGCTAAAGCAGAGCCACCCACATTTGGTTCCTGTATTCAGCTATATTTACAAAAACTGTTTGGAGATCTGGAGACTAAAGGCGGTCAGAAAACCAGGCAATAAGAGCGCTATCAATGCTTTAGCGCTTCAATAGACGTATTAGACCTGTATGCCAAACACATCGAATGCTTCAGAGACTTGCTGCAGAAGACCACACACATATCTTTATCAACAAGCTCAGTGCCAATGGTGGGTCCAAGGCGGCGGCAAATATTCCCCATGCCCCCAAAAATTAAAGAAGAAATGAGCGCGAAACAACTTGAATGTTTCTTAGAGTATGGTTTCTTTCAATTAAATGGTAAAAATTATGCCCTGGAAATGTTTAAAATACAGAAATTTCAATAGGTTTCGGCAAATAGTCCACACTGGTGGTTCCGTCCTACATACGTCTCGCCGACTTGTTTATGCTCTCCAAACCCAACCCCCTTCCCCTCACAAAGATGTTTCTGGAACCGACCATTAAAATGTATACAATGGGCTGAAATACGCAAGAATAATTGGGACCAAAACCTGATTAATATTTGAAGATTTGAGTATAAATGGTTATAGACATATATAAAAATAATAATTTCCATAACGTTTCCAACATAGCTCAATAGCTCAATATGTCTGCAATTTGACAGATTACAGCTACTGCTGTTTAATAAGTTGGCATTAATGTTGCGATTTTTCTGTTTGAAAAAAACTTTTGTACAACACCAGACATGTTGAAAAGAACACAGAGTGGGCTAATTATTGATGAGACAGTGCATTTAAGCATATGGTGACTTATTTAATCAACACCACATGCTTTGGGCGGACAATGTGCTGATTAAATTAAATATGTCCTGTTCTGTTATTCATATCTTAGGTAAGTTTGTTATTTGTACTCAAGTCTTGTATAATGTTTCTATTATTACCACTAATTGCTAATGTTTTCATGCGGTTGCGCTTCCTGCTTGTTTTATGTACTGTGCTTTCAGATCAGTAGTTGTCTCTCAGCCAAATGGTAACTGTATAGAATGGCATTCAATCTTTAGCAAACGGAAAATACGAAACTTAAGAGCATCATTTACATCACCACAAAACGTCGATATCCAGTCTATATCTGTTAAAACAATTACTTTGTTTCAAATCCGCTTTATTATACTGACAGACTTCTTTCTTACTGAGAGTGCATACATACTGTGTTTGATGAAAAAGGAGGTGTTGTGATCGCTTACATTTGCATCAGTTGAGATAATTCCAGAACGGAGAATACGTGGTTGGAGATGTAGTAACGGTAGTTGCCAACTAACCTGTTACAATGATCGGTTCAAATATTATTTTTTTGCATGTCATTAAGAACATCTCAGAGATGTTCAAATTATGCGTTGAATTAGACGTCGTTTCAATAACCAATAATTTTAATATTATCGAAGATATTGAATCCCCACTCGATAACGATATTCAATGAAACACAAAAGAGTGTTGTTAATGGTGGAGGTAGGTACATTACATGTAACATAACTTTCGTAACTTTTGCATATTTTTCTCATGTGTTCACATGTTTCTAAATAGCTTCATAGCTACCATGTTACAAATGCAAGGATTATAATTTGTAATCCTAACCGTACACATCAAAACAGTATGGAATATATATATATATATATATATATATATATATATATATATATATATATATATATATATATATATATATATATATATATATATATATATATATATATATATATATAATTTTGTATCAACCGCTTCGGTGACCTAGTGGTTAGAGCGTCCGCCTCGAAAGCAGGAGGTCGCAGGTTCGAACCCCAGCCGAGTCATACCAAAGACTTTAAGACATTGAGAGGTTAGTGTTAGGACTGATAGACCTGGTGTCAGGATAATGTGACTGGGTGGGACATCATGCTGCATGTCTGCAGCATGACACCCCAAGTGTTTATACATCACAGACATGTTAGCAATATGACTGAAAAATTGTTAAAGCCATATTAAAAATCTAAATCACACACACACACACACACACACACACACACATTTTTGTATCTCCTGTGAAAGATAATTTACTTTTTAAATGATTCAAGTTCATTTGGTTCATTATTCCTTGGGTGTTCTGCAAGTCAGGTCATCTTTCATGACGACGCTTGCACATTCTTCATGGTCGAACCATCTTTACAATCAATGATGTCCTCTTCATTTTCTCTTTTGCCGACTACAACATCATTGCAAGCTATAAGTGAAAACTATTTACCCTTCCTTTTCATAAAGAGCTGCTAGCGACAAGATTTCCTTGTTTTGTATGACTACACTGTTGCGATTATTGTATTAAGAAACAGAAAAGAGCTAAATCCAACAAGTTTAGTAAACTTAACAAATAATTTATTTCAATAAAATACAAAGTGAAAAATTTAAAAACAACTTAGAATAGTGTGAACTAAATCCTAACTAGTTCTAAAAGTTCTATCACAATTACAAAAGTAAAGCGTTCCGAATGAATTCGATTTGGTGTTTTGAATAAATTCGATTCTCTAATGTGCTGATGTTCCAACAGCATATAATACTTTGATATACTATCAGTCTTGATGTATAACAATAATATAATCTGGAACGAACTTGAACGAGTTCATAATAATTCCAAAATAGTGATGTAGTCTGAAATGTCAATGAACACTTTCTATATCCCAATGAATAATTTAACTGAAAGATTCCTCTCAAAACAAAACTGAAGTTAAATATAGGCATGAGTAATTCCAATGTAAATGACCTTAATATAAAAACCCAAGACACAATAAGAGGACCAGGATGAGAGTCAAAATTTCAGTCCAAAACATTCTGAATTGTGAAGATAGTAAGGTCTCTTACTAAAATTGAAACAAACAACATGAAAAAACACCAGGAATTTCCAAAGGGAAAACCAATGTCTTGGACTCAAAACCACGTAAACATGTTTACCTACAAGAGATAATTGTCTTCTAATATAATATTCAGTCATAAACAAATATTAGCTATGTAATATGTTGTTAACAAATGACTCTTACAATCTACAATCATGGACAACAAAACACGTAATGCAGATATACATAACAGTACACAAACCTGCTTAACCAAACGTTGCGAGTTGTAGTAACATTGTTTAAGAATGTTGACTCACTATGACTTCTCACACTGACTGAAAAAGCCAATCAAAGTTTCTCTTTCAATCATATTCACCTATCGATTGATAAAAAAGTACCTTTGATGAAGTGTAAGAACTTTTTAATTGTGTTGTTGATGGTGTATTTTTGGTGATGGAAATTCAGGAGAAACGCAGAAATCTCCATGCATCCAACCATGGGGAAAAAAACGAAGAACTCATCGTACTTAAATCAGTCTTAAAACAATATGACTACCATCGTCATTTTTCGTTCCACGCATGCATAAACGTTTGTGACATTTAAGTTACTTCATCAGTACATCTACAGAAGTAAAATATAAGCTTAAAGGAGAACATAAATAATCTTTTCCTTTTATGTATGTAATTCGCTATAAATTGTAATTGGACTGTAATGTTTATAAATTCAATATTGTAGGTGGGTAGTGATTATATTGCGCGGATGATACCACGATTCCATATATCGTCGAGTTTTTCAGAGTTTTGATGAGACGAGAGATCACGTGGTCCCGTGACGAAATACTAGTCGAACTCGAATACAAACATAAACATGGTGAGTAAGACAGACCTGAAGAGACCAGATTAAGGTTGCACATTCAAAAGTTGAATCTGCTTCCCAGAGCTGTTTTAAGAAGTTTAGGGTCCTAGGCACAAACTCTAAATGACCTGTCATTTACATATAATGCAATTGAATCTCATATTTCTTAAATAAATTTATTGCATTGTGGTAAATTTTTAATTTTTACGTTGGGCACCATCACTTTATCCGTATCACATTTTTTTGCACAGCACACAATGTATAAGTATTTATTTTAAAATAAAATTGTCTTTTTAAATTCCAAAATATGAAATATGAGCACCTTCTAACTGTTGTACTTTCATTATTAATACACAATTCAACATATATAATCATGAGCATATCTTGAAAGCAACAGTGCCGTTTTAAGACATAGGCAGTGTTAGCAGTTTAGTACTATACTAATAAATTGAACAAAATGACAAACATGCACATGGAAATGCAATGCAATACTCTACATCTGAGACTGAGAGACCGAGGCACAGTTCTGGTTACTTTTAAAGATCACCGGCCACACTCCAACATTTTTTCTGTTTGCATCAGATTTGCATTATATGATTAAAAATGGTTATACTCACACAAAAAGAACAAAATAATTATCAAGTGTCAAGTAGAAATAATAAATTTATTACTCGAAAAAGACGTATACAACGCAGTTACTTCCCCTTAGCTACGATTTCCCATCTATAGAGGACGCCAGCCGGAAATGACGTGCATTTATCCCCATTAGACGTAGTCCATGCTTCTTGCTGTAGAAAAAAAAAAACATTACAAAATATGATAGGGAACATTTAGATGAAACTACTGAAAACTAATTTACCGTTCAGCCTCTTATTGATATGCTTGCAGCTAGGACACACCAGATTGTGTCTGTCGCTTTCAAAACTGTTCCATTATTTCAATTTATTTTGAAAAAATGCCCGACAATACAGGCAAGAAGGAATCAATGTTGGCTTTTCTATGTCAGCCGACTTTATTTTAAAAAAGAAAATCGGCACACTTTAAAAAATCTAAAGAAACCAAACTTGACTTCCTTATGTGGGCTGACTTCATAAGAAAAATCGGCACACTTAAAAAATTCCAAAGTCAGTTTTCGGGGTTGTTTGCTTTGTATTACAATAAGTTTTGTATCTGATATCCTGTCGGAAAGTTTAAGGAAAGAGATTACTGCTCGCTCCAAGTTGTCTATATCCATTACCCAAGCTTCTATTTGTTTCCCAGATGTGATTATAATTTATAGTTTGCATGGCAAATAGTATACACAACATAACACTTTTGTAACCCATGCTAGCGAAAAGATTATTATTTGTACTCACAGTGGATGTATTTTAAAATAATGATTTTTATTTGCGAGATACCGTCGTAACGTCCATAGTTAACATGGATACAATACAATCTTAGTCATTGTGCACCTTGTAACGTCATGCGTGAATGGGAGATGCTTACAGGCAATCGGGTGATATTTTCGTCTCTTTCGTGATTTTGATATTTAACATAAGCGACATACTTTACAAAGGACGCATACACAAACCGGCATCCACTACATGGGTATATTTTTCTTTCGTGGCTGTATTTTTTCCTTTAACAAATTTCTTTCATTTTATTTTCAAATAAGTGCATGTTTATCATTTTGTTTACCTTGCCGGGGCGGGGGGGACCACAAATTCAACATAAAATTAATACCTTTCTCATTTGTATGGATTAATAGAGTAAATATGATTGAAGATATTGACTAGTAATGACAAGCTTTGAATTTACGCGCGCACACACTAAGACAACATGAAAAATTAAAACAAACAAATAAAATTAACTAAAATTAAATATATTTGTTTTAATCTCATGTACACTACCCTTAGAAAAATGTATACATATTCTGTAGAATATTATCTGTTGTTTTATTGTTTAATAAATGAATATTGATAATTTGACCAGAAGACTTAAATCGAGAAAGTTCTTGTACAGATGCATATATTATTTTTAGCATAAAAATCTATGTATGTATGTATGTATGTATGTATGTATGTATGTATGTATGTATGTATGTATGTATGTATGTATGTATGTATGTATGTATGTATGTATGTATGTATGTATGTATGTATGTATGTATGTATGTATGTATGTATGTATGTATGTATGCATGCATGCATGCATGCATGCATGCATGCATGCATGCATGTGTATATATATATATATATATATATATATATATATATATATATATATATATATATATATATATATATATATATATATATATATATATATAATTTAGAATAAGCAAGATATGTCTGTTTGTGTTTTCTCTCATATGTATGTACCTTGCAAAGTATGGTTATTTTCTTTGAAAGAATATCAATTTCGTTTAAATTTGTTTTTTCCTAAAAACTATTTCTAAAGGGTATCTTGCACAGTATCTACTTGTTGTTTTTAGAAAAAGAAATTGTTCAAACTATTGTTAAGTTGAGCCGATTTGTCTTTCGAGCTGGGCCGAATTTTTTTTGGTATAATCCGGCATTAATTATACGACTTTTCCATCCCCTCACCCTATTCTATATCACAGCTTGAATTCACTTTTCTCGAAAAAAGGGGTTTTTCGGAAAAAGAAACAATTCTTTTCCCCATCATCACTCTTTTGGTTACATCTATATGCAACACAGTGCGTTATATTTGCTGTACAAAATAATTATCATAAGATATATCACATAGACGTTTACATTGGGAAATTAAACACTTTAATAGTTAGGTAGAGTTTAAGGGATAAATGTGCGTCATATCCGTGTTTGACACGCGGAAACTACCGATTGTTTACGGAGATTGCCGAATAATTTTTACATCTATAAAAGTGGATTTTTAAGCCTAATTAAGCATTTCTATGACACACACACACACACATACACATGCGCGCGCGACATACAAACTAATATTTTGAAAATACACATCCAACACTGAAACACTGAGAGATAATACTGAATCCTGGGCGAAGGGACTAGAAGAAGCGAAAAGACTTGAGACTGAATTCTGAGCGAAGAGAGTAGAACAGGAACCGATTTGTGTGTGAAATAACATCCATTACCGGGGACGTGTACAAGGCA